ACAAGTTCTCTAACCCTTGGTCACTTTCTTCACCTTCTAGTTCTCCTATGAAGCAAATATTGTAACATATCATGTTGTCCCACAGCTCCCTTAAACTGTCTTGTTTTAATTGTCTTTTCTTTTTGATTGTCTGATTGATTTTTTTCCTACCCTGTATTCTAATTTGCTTATCCCATCCTTAGTTTCACCTAATCTGTTCTTTATTCCTTCCAGTGTATTTTTTATTTCTACTGTGCCATTCTTAATTTTTTTTATTTCTACTATGTCATTCTTCATAGTTTCCATATCTTTTCTTATGCTGTTGAGTATCCTTATGATCAGCATTCTGAACTCTATATCTGATAGATTGCTTATCTCCATTTCATTTTTCTCTTTTTCTGGAGAATCCTCTTGTTCTTTCATTTGGGGCTTGTTTTTTGTCTCCCCATTTTGGCTGCCTGTTTGGGTTTGTTTCTTTGTCTTATGTAGATCTGCTAGGACTCCCAGTCTTTTGGATGGTGTCTGGTGCAGGCAAATGTCAGACACTGTTTGTTACTGGCCTTCAGTATCCTGTTTGGAACTACCAACAATCCACAACTTGTGGCTCCCTCTGCTGGGTCTGCATGCATTTGGAAAGGAGCAAGATGTGCACCGAGGCCTGTTTTTCTGAGCCCTGAGTCTGGGAGCAGATCAGGCAAAGACTCAAAGCACCCAGAGGCTGGTTGCTACTTTGAGTCACTTAAATGAGCCTCATCTTATAGAGCACAGCAAGGTTTAAACTCTACAAGCTGGGGCGAAAAGTTTTCCGACAGTGTGGGGCAATTGCTTTCCCCCCAGACAAAAGCTACTTAGATGGTAAATGTCTGGCTGAGAAAGATATTCTCTGCTACTATGGGGGAATGACTCAGCACAAGAATTCAGATGGCTGTCCTCTGAGCTCTATCCTCAGAACCAATTTTTCTGGATTTTCCTCGCACAGGTTTAGTCCACTCTGCCCTCCGTCCGCCAGATCCCAAGGCGAATGTCTACACACAAAACTTTGTGCTTTTCCGGCCGGGCGTGGCTCAGTGGTTGAGCGTCGACCCAGGATCCAGGAGATCAGGGTTCAATTCCTGGTCAGGGCACATGCTCGGGTTGTGGGCTTGATCCCCAGTTGGGGCATGCAGGAGGCAGCCAATCAATGACTCTGTCATCACTGATGTTTCTGTCTCTCTATCCTTCTCCTTTCCTCTCTATGAAATCAATAAAGATATAATTTAAAACAAAACAAAACAAACAAACAAAATCTTTGAGCTTTGATCCCTTCAAAGGGTGCCTGAACTTCCAGTAGGCCCTCCCTGACAGACAGAAACTCTGCTGCTTTTCACAGCCATATGTTATGTGGGTAACTTTCTCAGTTTTTGTGCTCTAGACCGGGGAGCCCAGCTGGAGCTTAGGCCCCAGAGTTCTCAGTGGGACTCCTCACAGCTGAGATATCCTTCCAGAACTTCAGCAGTTGCTTATGGGACTCCAGCGAGCACTCTTTCACCTCCACACTTCCTACCTAACTCTATGTAGTCTCTGCTTTAGGTCCTTGGTTATAAGGGTTCTCTCCAGCTAGTCTTCAGTTGCTTATTCAGGAAGTTTTTTCTATATTTTAATTGTAGTTCCAATTTGTTCCTAGGAGAGTGTTAGCGTAGCTTCCACTTAATCTGTTGTCATCTTGGAATCTCCAGCATTTTAGTTTTTTGAGGAAACCCCATACTGCTTTCCACACTGACTGCACCAATCTGCATTCCCACCAATCTTACTAGAAACCATAACATCCTACAAGAACACGTAGACAGTAAAGGTGGCTATTTATGATTCTGTAAATCTTCTAAATTTATCAGGAAGGCAGTGCTACTTTTGTCTTTTATATCTATTCTTTTGGCTTAGTTCTTTCTTGAACTAAGACCCTATCAAAAAGTTGGAGTGGAGGCAAACATTTTTGCTTAGGTTATTTACAACAGTGGCAAGATGAAGAGAACTTCACATTTTAAACACTGGAGAATATTCATCTCCTTTAATAGTTATAACAGAAAAGTATTTTGTTTCACCACTACCACTCAGCCAATTGCTTCACCAAAATGCAACATATTTTTCAATGTTAAAATTGTAACAGTAAATATATATTTAATAGTAACAGTATAATATCAGAAAACATTCTACCCAGTGTGGCATTTCAAAGTTAATTTAGAAGGAAGATGAACATAGATAATTACTTAATATGTTAAAAATATGGTACATCATCTCACTTTAATTTCTCATGCAACTAATTTATGAACTTTAGTTTTTAATAATAAGAGCTGTCATTCATTGAACAATTAAAATGTGCCAAGCATAGTGGTCAGAACTTTACATGTATTATATCATTTAATTCTTGTGACAACTCAATGTAGTACACTTATTATGCCCATTTTGAAAAAGAGGAAACAGGCTCAAAGAGTTAACAAGGTCAGAGAGTTAGAAAAGCATGGATCTATCTGATTCTGGAGCTCATGATCCTAACCCCCTATGCTATTGACTACTGATTGATATTTATTAATTACTCACTTGAATATGGCTCTCAAACTAATTTAAAAGTCATTGCAAAATTGCTTTTCTGATGAACTTGGAAAGTTATAAAAAGTACTTAGTTAATTGGTCTATAACAGTAGCAAGAATAATTCTAGCGGCCTGTCACATCATGCATAAAACTTAGAATTCTTCAGAGCAAAAAATCAAAATCATAATAGCTCAGTCTATACTATTGAGCTATATACTCATAATAGGTCAGTATATACTCCCTCCTCCAATCCTAATCCAGTTTCCAAGGGGCTAACCCTGCATTAGTTAGAATGCAGAACATGTACCTTTATCCCAATATAATAAAATTACCTGTGTAAGGCAGTCTAACTAAAAGTAGATAGATAACTTGTTTTTGAAAGGGATTTTAACCTTTTAGCTAGAGCACGTAGCTTTAGATTGATGTGTGCATTATTTGCTGTTGCCTGTGTGATTTGAATAGGTCACTAAACCTTTGTTTGCTGCTCACCACCCTCAAAAGCAGAATATAAATTACTTAAAATGAAGAGTATCATGGAAGAAAGCTTTTACAAGCATTATTGGAAATTCATTATTGAAAATTATGGAATCTGATATCACATTTTCAGAAACTAAAAGATAATTGGTCTTATGTATCAACTAAATATTTTAAAGTCAGAAGAGACAGTGGTTGGGGTAAAACTTTTTCAGTGAATTTCTACTTAAAAATGAGAGGTGTTAAATTTAAATCTTCTGAGCAATGTTGAAAGGACAATCAGGGGTGGTGGTGGTGATATAGAGAGTTAGCCAGGTGACAACACAAACACCTGGTGAGTTTTAATGGTAATAAGTAGATATGACAAGATCTAGAATAAGGCCAGTTCTATACCAGACTTGGAATTTATCTGATTTTTAAAAAGAGGTTGTTAAAAAGCAAGTAAAAACTATTCTGAGGAAAAAGTGACTAAATATTTACTTATTCCCTAGTTGCATTAAGACTTATGATTACATTTTAAAGTTGAAAGCAAATACTTATTTTTGATTGATAAGTGTTTGTATCCTCTTAGAAATTGCATGTTTATGACCAAGCTCTGAATAGGAGGCTTAAGAAAGGAGTATATATATCTCACTTGGAATTGGGTCTGGCTACACCAAAAGGTTGACTTTGAGAACTAAAACTGCACATCGCAGGGGATCCTTACACTTCGCAAATGTCAAGGACTGCTTGAGAGAAGACCTACCATTCACAGGATAGTGTGTGTACCTTCAAGAGTCAGTGACTACATTTATATTTCATGATAAGTGATGTACCATGTGATGTTTTAAAACACAAAACATCTAACACAATCTTATCTAAATAATTTATGTTTAGAAAGCCAAGTTGATTTACTGTAAATCAATATCTAATTACTTTTTGAAAGTCACTCATTTACAGAAATGGATTTAATTTTTTCACTGCATAATGTGGTTAGACAGGGACATATCAGAATTGTACTTTTATGTTAATATATAAAACTAGGGGAACTGCATAAAATAATTAAAAACAAAAAGGTGATAATTGTACAAAAATTAGATACCATATTGTACAACAGTTTATGTTAAGAGATCCCAGGGAAATAAAAAAGCAATATCTGAACCCTTGGGTTGTCGAAACATGGATTGCTCCAACAATTATAAGGAAAAGTAGTTATGTTATCTCCCAGTGAGTGAGATAATTATGACCTAATTCTATAGTTCCCCTTGCAAAAAGGACCTCCATTTTATGTCCTTATAAACTTTCTTGAAAATATTTGTGGTTGGAGTAGTGGGCATGAATATATGTGTCTATTTTGCTTTGGTGAAAATGTCTAGCAATTTTCATTTCATATGATTAGTGATGAGTGCTTATTCTATGTAAAAGAATATGATAAAAAAGATAAAAAACATGTATATAATAACATTAAAATTTCTCTTCTTTTTTTTAATCCTCACTCTAAGATATTTTTTCCATTGATTTTTTAAGAGAGAGTGGAGGTGAGGAAAAATGGAGGGAGAGAGATAAAGAGAGAGAGAGAAAGAGAGAAGAAACATCGATGTGAGAGAATCGATTGGTGGCCTCCCTCCAGTGGTCCCAGTGGGCCAGGATCGAGCCTGAAACCCAGGTACCTGCCCTTGACTGGGAATCAAACCTGAACCCCTTTAGTTTGCGGGCCAACGCTCTAACAAGTGAGCCAAAGCAGCCAGGGCTAAAATTTATCTTCTAAGCATTTTCTCAATCTATGGAGATTGTCTCTATCACAGTAATTGTTTTAAGTCATGTACATAAAGAAAACAGATTTTGAGGGGAAATCAGTATTTTTACAGTTAATGTCCTAGCTTTTCTCTTCTCATATTAATGGGTTGTCAAAATGGAAGATACTTTGTAGAGAACTACTTTGGAATATTACTATTTCAAAATTCATCAGAAATATTAACAACTTATCTACCTTCTCCACCAGACCATGAGCTTCTTACTGCCCAGAATATGCTTATACACGGTAAGCTTCTAAATAAATATTTGTGATGCATAAATGAATGACATGTTTAAATTCAAGTTGAGACCACCTTCACCCTCTTAATATATGGTGACAGGAGAAGATATGAAATTCACACCTGAAACCTATATGTTTATATTAATCATTGCCACCCCAATGAATTAAAAAATAATAAATTCAAGTTGAAACAGGTCATATAAATAGAGATGTGCAGTTGCAGTGGGAAATGTGTGACTAGAACTTGGGTAAGGTGGTGGCTGGAGAATAGATTTGGGAGTCATTCACAAAGAGGTGCTTGAAACCATAGGAAAGAATGAGCTCACTTGGAGGGAGGAATTAGAAAGTGAGATGAGAAGAGGGCTGAAAACAAGGACAGGACCCTAGTGAATGTTCACATTTAGGATGACGTGAAAAAAGGCAGGTGGGTAAGGAAACAAGAGGATTCATTGAGACATCAGAGTAGTGTTCTTAGTGGAAATGGGTAAGGAAGAGTTTTCAAGGAGGATGAACATTGTTGCTGGTGCTATACAGAAGTCATAAAAACTGATTTGAAAATGTCATTGAATCCAAAATAAGGAAATTATTAGAGACCTTGGAAATAAGAGTTTCAGTGAAATAATGAGGACAACAGCTTGATAGGAAAGTGTTAAGAAATACAGTGCATATAGGTGAGGTGAGCATATAGATTAATATTTAAGTAGCTTGATGAAAGGAAAGGAGAAGTAGTTGAAAAGAAAACGAAATTATTCTAAAGCTATTACAAAAAGAACAGCTCTAAGTGAACTAGAATTTTGCCTTGAAAAATCCCATTTTTCAGTTTTCCTAGCCTATATTTATCAGAACATTGTTGTTTTTTATTTCACTGTGGAGTCATCTTTAAACTAACTCAATGACTAGTGGCTGAAATACTCAAAAATTAATATTTTTAAAATTATGACAGAGAGAGAAGATGAATATATGTGATTAGAGAACAATGAAACCAAATGTCCCTCTTTATGATTTATATCTGAAAATAGCCAATGAATATTTTATCAAGACAAATCCAAATTATTTTAAACAACATTGTCTTTAAAGTATAAGAGCCTTTGCTAATTTCAGAAATAAAATCTTATAAAGTCTGTGTTGACCATATGGAAACATGTTTTTATTTTTTTGTGAAAAATTTAAGTCAACCTTGTAAAATAATAAGCAAGAAAGTTGAATTTTTATAGAAATTATGAAGTACAGCTGGACAATTTCCATTACCCTACTTGCCAAATTTCGGTAAAAACTAGTTTGACTCTTTAGAAAATATTGTTCTAACTTTTTGCTATGAGATGGATTATTTTAGTCATAAGAAAATACAACCAATATATTTTTTTAATTTAATCTTTTACATCTAGTCTCCCTCTCCCAATCCTAATCCAGTTTCCAAGGGGCTAGAATGAGTATAGGATTGGCAAGTCAATATGCAGATAGCTCACTTAAGATTTCTTGACTTGGGATCTGGCGAATGCAATTCAAGAAAAAAGAAAAGGATAAATGGAAAGAAATTGGACATTTAGGATTCTGTATAAATTAAATTATTAAATTCTAAATCAGCGAGTGCAATATTTCTAATTGAACAAACATAATAGTATATGTACACACATGTACCATATAAACACTTGGCAGAGATGCATAAAAGCACAGCCTTACATGGGATGAACAATTTGAATAAATTATGTAGCCAGGCCATGCCAATTCTGGATCTATAGACTGTGCTGGGGATTCTCTTCCTTTTACCACAAATTCATTCATTTAGAAAATCTTTTTTGTCATCCATTGAGCTACACCCTGGATTAAGGTCCACCAGTGCAAAAAAAGGTCAGGATTAAAGCTTTTTCAGCTTTTTCTCTCATCCAGAATAAGGAAGTAAGTATGGGAATGTCAGTTTGAGGTACTAAGCTATAATGTCTGCAAAAAGGAGGCATCTCTGATGGGCTGAAAAGAAGTACTTTAGGGACTACTTGCATACAAGTTGGTACACTGTCTCACAGGAATCAATCTCCTGCCCCACAACAAATTTCCCAAAGTAGTTTTTCTACCCCTTACAGTCATCCTGGCAATGATTTCCCCCTTGAATAACTATTATGGAAACATCAATAGTTTATTGGTTCAATTAAACTTTTACTTGGTTTTCCGCTAGAGAAAGGTGTGGAAAGTAAATTGTAAGCATGGTTTGCCTTTTCTTCTTATATATGAACATATTGCATAGTCATGATTATTATACAGTTCTGTTTAAAGCCAAATGTAGCAGTGATGACACCAAGATAAAGATTTGTGGTTTTGTTGCCTATTTCCACCAGTTATCTCTGGATTCTGGAATAAAGCATGCTAAGCCCCTTTTTCATTGTCTGAAAAATGCGTTTTAGACTTCTCTACAATTCCTTCACCTTGGGATCACCCTGGCCTTGATCTTTTGTGTAAACAATTATGCCTTACAAAAGTCTTAAGTATATTTATTAACTCCTTTATTTATAACACCTCAACAATCTTATGTTTGTCTCTCCCTTCCTGCTCTCCTTACCTCTTTCCATCTTTTCCAGGGAATTTTGGATTCCCAACAGTATTTTTTTTTTTTTTTAACCCTCACCCGAGGATATTTTTTCCATTGCTTTTCAGAGAGAGTGAAAGAGAGAGAAACGCCGATGTGAGAAAGACACATTGATTGGTTGCCTCCCACACATACCCCGGCCAGGGCTGGGGAATCCTGCAACCGAGGTACGTGCCCTTGGCCAAAATCAAACCCAGGACCCTTCAGTCCGTGGCATATGCTCTATCCACTGAGCCAAACCAGCTAAGGCCCAATAGTATTGTTTTAAAGTTGGGTAGGGTTATGCATATCAGTGTGCTTTATTTACTTTGGGTTTAGTTCGTGCCACTGCTACAGTTAAATCTGATAAGATCTCTTGAGCTAGTCTTTTTTATGTGGGAGCTATTCAGTTTGTCTTTGGTCAAGCATATGGCAAAGAAGCTAAGTGCTGAAACAATATTTCTCTTTATGTTTCCACCAAATCATTAGATAACTAAGATAATTTTAGCTCTTTCTTACCCCTTCCGACATATCTTTGCCTTTCCCAACCACAAACCTTTAAACTCTCAACGTTTGCCTCATTACCAAGAGTTAATAAGCATCATAATCTAGTTGGCTCCTGTTGTATTGGTGTATAATTTTTCTCCTACTACCAAATTTGTTCTTCTTAAAATAGCATTGTGGCCTTCAAATTTTTATAACGGTGCTTTAGTAGACTAAAACAACTATACCTAAATAGGAGGGCTTGGGAAACATTAACCTTTATGGTGACTAATGCTATTGGTTATTAAGAAACCTAGAGTATAACACTGGAACTCCCTTCTTTATTAAAAAAAAAAAAAAAAAAAAAAAGGCTTTTGGACTTTTTTCTTTTTATCAGCATCAAACATTCTGAAAATAAAATTCAGAAGTGTCTGGGTAGAAGGATCATAGGAGGTCATCCTCTCCATCCACATAAGCACTGTGAACTGTCCCAGAAAGATCGTAATCAATTTTCTTTTGTAAACTCTCCAAAGAAGGAAATATACAACCTCCCTTGGTAATATGTTGCAGTACTACTTTCTATTACTTGTTGTCCTAGACTCTGGGACTAAGATTGTGGAAATCTGGGTGACCAATTAAGGATATTTTTTACCTCTTTTTGTGTGAAGAAGAACATCAGATTTTTGAAACCATTGAAGCAAAGGAGTTAAAGCACTATACAATACTTAGAGATCTACCAGTTATCAATTTAAAATATATTTCCTAAATATATTCTGATAAAGTGTTCAACTCAGGACAAGGTCTTTGTCCTGAAAGAGCTTACAACATACCTTGGTTTGGAAAGCTTGAAATAGGTCTGGTGATTTTTTCTGTTTTCTCTTCTGCTTCTTGTCTTAGGAAGCATGGTGTGTGTTGTTTATGCTTGTAGGTCAGTACACTCTAAGATCATGCCATAAGGGACTATTCTCACATATTGGTTATTTCATGAGACTTGTGATTTACAGAATATAAACTAATCTCAAAATTAGTGTTTTAAATATTTTTAAAAATTTTATTTTACTGTTGAGAGTCCCTCATTTCCCCCTCTTTCCCCTGCTCCACCAGTCACCCACCCTGCCCCAGGCCTTCACCTGTCTGTTGTCTGTGTCCACAGGCTATACACATAAGTTTTTTGGTTAAGCTGTTCCCTCCTTCCTTCCTGCCTTCCCTCTTAGGCCTGTAAGTCTGTTTCAGGCTTCCATGTCTGTGGTCCTATCTTGTTTGTTAATTTACTTTGTTCCTTAGATTCCATATATAAGTGAGATCATGTGATATTTGTCTTTCTCTGATGGGCTTATTTCGCTTAGCATAATATTCTCCAGGTCCATCCATGCTGTCTCAAAAGGTAAGAGATCCTTCTTTTTTACCACTGAATAGTGTCCCATGGTGTAAATGTACCACAGTTTTTTTATCTACTGAAGGAACTTGGGCTGTTTCCAGGTCTTGGCTACTGTAAATAAAACTGCTATGAACACCGGGGTGCATATATTCTTTCTGATTAGCGTTTCAAGATTCTTAAGATATATTCCTAAGGGTGGGATCACTGGGTCAAATGACAGTTCCATTTTTAATTTTTTTGAGGAAACTCCATACGGTTTTCCACAGTGGCTGCACCAGTGCATTCCCCCCAGAAGTGTACTATGGTTCACTTTCCTCCACATGCTCACCAGCACTTGTCATTTGTTGGTTTGTTGATGGTAAATATTCTGACAGATGTGAAGTGATACCTCACTGTGTTTTTTTTGTTGTTTGTTTGTTTATTTATTTTTAAATATTACAAATGTTCATTTTTCTCTCCAATGAACCATTACACCCCGTCCCATCCCCCTCCCCAGTCCCTCTCCCCACCATTGTCCGTGTCCTTGGGTTGTGCATATATGCATATAAATTCTTTGGTTACTCTCTCGCCCTCCACCCACCCGCCCTT